CCAAGGCGTCTCGTACCGCCGTGGCCCTGTCCCTTGTCCGCTCTGTCGCATGTGCCTCTCCCCGGAGCTCTCCAAGCCGCCGCAGCGCCGCTAGGTCCTCCTCAAGTGCTGAGCAGTCTACCTGGGAAAGAGTGGGGGGTGTAACCAGGCAAGAGCAGAACCCGATGGCGCATGCATGTGTGGGCTGGCTGGTCAGGGTGCGCTTGATGGGGAGGTTCAGATGCATGCAGGTGCTAAATATTGTTTCGGAGGGGTCGGCGCCTCGGCAACTTGTGCCACCAACGGCGAAGGTGGCCCTTGCTAGCCAGGCTTGATTCAGACGTTGGCGTCACATATGAATTCAAGTCTTCCGCCCCCCCTGAATGCAAAGTCTGCCGACCCCAGATTCCCCTCACAGTTGCTAGTTCGTCAGCCAGGGCGTCCTCCTCGGACTCCAGCACGGCCGCACGCTGTAGAAGCAGCGCCTCCGCCTCGTCATCATTGCGCCCCTCCAGCCTGCCCTCATGAGGTCGCACGCCCAGCTGACTTTCGCCAGGTCGCGCTGATGCTGCTGCCTCGTCACCCACGTGCACCTGTTGACAGCCCTGGACCTCCTCCACTTTTCCAGTCGTCGGCCTGTCCTCTGGATCGCTGCTGTCTACAACAGCTACACAACCGCGCTGCCTTTGCCATGCTGTTGCTGGAGCGTGCCGGCCGTGGCTCTGCCTGCGTTGTGCTGCAGCAGCTGTTGGCGCATTCTTCCCATCGTCGCTGCAGCCCTTAAGAGCTTGTGAACTTGCAGGATCCTTGGCATCACCCATCCCCACATCCGACATGGGCGCTGAGCAGGGTGCCTGGCCGTCAGGTCGCTGTGCTGCTGATGCTGGCCCGTGCCGCCACACACTGTCCTTGGTGCCGCACGGCTGACTGCTTTCACGTGTGGCACTGTCTCCAGATTTTTGATCCCGCAGCTGCTGCTGGCGACGCCGCTGCTGCAGCTGCTCACGCGCCTCCTGAGCGTTGCGCAGCTTGGTCTGGCTTCGTCTTAGGTTAGCCCTGACCTGGTCCAGAGCCATCTGCACAATAAGATTACAGCAAGAGGACACACTTTAAAAGGGCAGGGATAAAACACACGAATGGATATGTTGTCTTGCGTGTCTGCGTCGAGTACTACTTCTGTGCATGATAACAACTTGCAAGTGCACCCAGGCTACCCTCTGCATCAACACCCAGCCTAGCTTCTGCATTGATGCCCAGCCCAGCCTTAGCGCAGCAACATGCCACCCACCTGTGTTTTTTCCAGCTGCACAACCGCAGCCGAAGCCGTGCTGGTCGCTAGCTGCAAGGCACGCTGTGCTGCATGCTCCTGGGCCCTCGCTGCCTTGGCATCACACACAGCGGCCTCAAGAGCCGCCTCGGCAGCGGGCAATTTCGCTGCCAAGGCATGGCAATCAGCCTGCAAGGGGAAGGGTCAGGAGTTGGCAAGGTGCAACCTTCAAGACAACCTGTAATACAGGGTTTTCATTCACTACAATGCAACAGGGATGCGCGTACCTCATCATGCACGCACCTCATGATGCAGGTATCATGATGCCGATCACAGTGTTGCGCAAGCTCCAACACATCTAAAAAACACAACAGACGCCTGTGTACGGCTCACCTGATGCCGGGCCGCCTCAGAGTCCGAGCTCACGCCATCAAGTTGCTTTGTAAGCTGCTTCCTGAGCGCCGCCTCCTCCCTGCCAGCAGAGCTGGCCGCCCGACACGCACATGCCAGTGCTGACTGCGCCGCCTCCACCGCGGATGCAGCTTCATATGCCGCCCGCTGTGCGCCTGCGGCTGCCTCCCTGCCAGGCTGGTCGCAACGTGCCGCATCCAGATCTGCAACGGCGGCTGCCAGTCGCTGCTGTGCAGCTGATGACTTGGAGGCGAGTGCCTGTGCCTGCTTGCGAAACTCAGCCAGCTGCAGCTTGTTGGCCTCCTGCCCGCCGTGCACGCCTTTACTGTGCTGAAGCATCAAGCGCTTGACTGCTGCCTCGGCTGCCACCACAGCTGAGTTGGCTTTGGCCGCCAGCCGCTCCTGCTGCATCACACGCATGCGGGCTTCAAGCAACACCTCTTCCGCAGCAGTTACGTTGCTGCTGGCCTCGCGCACTGCTCTTTCCAATTCAGAGACACGTGCGACCACTGCCGTGCGTTGCTCGAGCTGCCGCTGCTGCTGGTTGAGCTCCTGCTGGCCTGTCGAGGCTGCGGCGCGTGCCCCGCCTGCCGTTCGCAGCACCATCACTTCGCCACTCACGCCGTAAGCCAGTTGGCTGGCAGTCTGATTGTGTCCTGGCGGCGGCCCTGCCACGATCTCACCGTCCGCCTTGAAGACCTCGCCATGGCGCGTGACCAAACCCTTGCAGCGCGCCCCGAGACGCCAGTCACTCACAATTCTGCCGCTGCGCACCTCAGCCAGAAGCTGCAGAGCTGTTGCAGCGTTGGGCACAAGGCCCCAGCCCGCCAGCATGGACTCAAGCAGCGGTTCAACTGCAGGTGTGGAGGCTGTGACCAGAGAGATGAGGGGCACAAGAGCGCTGGTGTTCTCGTTGTGGGGCCCGCACTGTGGCCACTGCCTCCGCTGCTGCTGCTGCTGCTGCTGCTGTGCTGTGGCGCTGACCACAAGCTCATCCAGGATGCGGCAGCTGACGCGGCCGACGCGAGCATTGCGAAAGTGGGCAAGAGCCGCAAGGGCTGTTGCTCGGTTCGACACGATCAGAGTGGAGGGCAGGCTGCACACCTATAACAGGCAGAGAGGAAGGCCAAGATGCAAGTGGTCAATTAGGACTGTTCTTCACCACTTGCTGCTGCTTGCGAACAACCCATTCATGCTCAGAAACAAATATCACTCGCTTTGAGCCACAAAACGCAGTGGCACCGCACCTCTTGGAGCACGGCGATAACGCCAATTGCCAATCCGGCGTCTGCACCATCCGCAAGCCGTACCACGTTGCAGATGCGCCCAAAGAACCTGCCAGGCAGCCGTCCATCTGCCTCAGCTTGAGCGAGGGCAGACACCGCCAAGTCATGCATTAACCACCTGCCAGGCGTGCTGCCTTGGTGTGGCGGGCGGTCGAAGGCAACTGGTTGTGGCGCCAAAACCGCGGCCAAGTGGGTTTGTGCCTGATGCAGCTGCCTCTCCGCTGCGCTTTGGCGAGCACATGCTGCGCGCCAATTCTCCTCTGCCTCAGACAAATCTGCGCCCGCCTTGCTGGTTGCGGCACAGGCTGTAGAGTCCTCTACCAGCGCTGCGGCTGCGGTCTGGCGCGCCGCCTCCAGGGCTGTGGCCGCAGAAGCTGCTGCACTGCCCAGTGTGTTGACCCGCTGCTCACAGTCAGCAGCCCTCGCCTCGGCCGCAGCCGCCGCGGTTGCGGCCTGCTCTACAGCATGGCGAGCAAGAGAAAGCTCCTGGGCCAGGCGCTGCACCCTGGGCAAATTCTTCTGTGCTCGCCCCAGGCTCAGTCCTGTCACTTCTACCGCCTGACGCTCTGCCTGATCAGCGACTGCGCGGAGGCGTGCAAGCTCCTGCTGCGCGTTTGCCTGCTCTTCCGCCGTCGCCACTGCCTGCTCCCGTGCCTTTGCCAGCCGTGCCTCCATCTTGTTTCGCAGCTCTCGCTCAGTAGCTGCATGACGCGCCGCATCTTCTGCGCCGGCCTCAGCCCGCGCCAGCTTGGAGACAACGCATGTCAACTGAAGGTGGTCCACGCAGCGCAAAGGCAGCAAGTTGCTTTGCTTGATGGACGTTTTAAAGCAAATGATGATGACAAAAGCAATTGTCTTTAGCCGCTGACGAGTACAGATCGTAATCCTCTTCTGGTTTCACCAGGATCTGTCACCGCCCTTGTCACCCTCACCTGAGCTGCAGCATCCCGCTTGCGGCCTGTAGCGGCGCCGACGGCCTGGGCAGCAAATGCTGCCTTGGAGCGAGCCTGCGTCTCTGCTTTTGTGGCTGCTGCCAACGCATTTTTCGCGGTGCTGATTGCGCCAAGTGCACATTCCTCCTCTGCCGTGTGCCCCTCTACTTGTTTGGCGAAAAGGCTAATCTGCTCTGCCAGCAGTTCGTCCCTGTATTCCAGCATTGGTGCAAGACGGCTGGTCAAGTCAAGTCTGGATTGACCGCACTGCCAGGGATCGAACTCTCAGCGCAAATATAGGTGGCAGAGGCTGTGTCAACGAACCTGTCATTGAGCACCACAAGTCGTGCGCACCTGCGGCTCTCCAATTCATCCTGACGCCGCATGCACTTGCGCCAGCGTGTGACCAACGGGGCGAGGGCCTCACGCCGCCCCTCTAGCCTGCAAGAGTTCAAGTCCGAAATAGAGCGAGAGACTTGCACTCCGTGGTCCTCGCAAGCAGGACCGGCAAGACGCCAGAGCAGCAGCCTCAGCAGCAGCAGCCTCAGCAGCAGCAGCCGCAGCCGCAGCGGCAGCAGCAGCAGCAGCCGCTGCCGCCGCAACCGCAGGAACAGCAGCCACGGCGGAAATGACATGCATACTCAACCTGCCCCTGGCCCACAACCTGGCAGCTTCTCCCTCGATGTCATCCAGGTTCTGGGCCAGTGCTGCCACTTCACTGTCCCGAGCCCTTATTAGCGCTGCATGATCCCCGGTGCCTGGAGACTCAAGGGGTTGGAAATGTACGCCCAAGGCACGCTGTAAACGACGGCGCTCTTGGTGATGTTGCATCCCCGCACTGATGCACAAGCTGGCACACCAAGCCGCATCAACTGCCTGATGTCCTCGTCAAGCCGTAAGACCCATCCACACAACGACACTCCGTAACCCGTGAATGGACCCAAAGGTCTGAACCCCCTCACCAAGCATCACCTCCAGCTGCGTGGCCAACTGCAAGGGGTCTTGGCAGCTGACCGCCTGGCGGCTCTGGGTCACGACACATCTTCAATTGGGGATTAAGTTGGGCGTGAAGGAGGCTGTTGAAAAATCCTTGACATGCGCCACGCAGACGGAATGATGGGCTCGTCAGGCATCCATGAAACCATCATCCAACCTGGTGGGAGCGAGCGATTTGCCAGTGCACTGCGCTGGCCCCGTCCCTGCCGTGCGCCCACCTGTCGACCGCGTCAGGCTGAATGCCCAGCGGCCTCAGGAGCTCCTGTAGCTGGGCCTACAGAGCAAACACAGTTGCAGCGCATGCGGGTGCTCCAAACGTGTCCGTACAAGATGCCATGCATGGCCCCAGCGGCGGCAGCAGCTAGTGCAGCTGCAGCATTTGATGATGCAGCAACGCTGACTTGCGGGCTGCAGCAATCAGCCGTCACTGAGTGCAGCCCGCATTGATGTGAAAGCAGCTTCAACAGCACCGGAGAAGGTGCTACCAACCTGTGTGACGCCCTCCCAGCGTTGCTGGCCGGCACTCGGCGGTGCACCTGTCTGGTCCGCATCACCGCGCCGCACGTGTGTCTGTGTGCTGCCATCCGCGCGAATCACACGCCGCACGGAGAGCAGCACCATGTTTGACTTGCAGCCCCTCGCCGCAAATTCCAGTGTAACCTGCTTGTGCACGGCAATCGCATGCTGGCTGGTCGGCAGGCACGTCATGGACCTCTGCGGCTGCTGTAGGCATGCACAGTCCCACCAAAACAGTGTGCCAGGGTGCAAGTGCCATGTCCAGCCACTGCCGCCACCCAAACACAGTCGCGCTGGCCCACCTGCGCCCTAGCCGCAGCGTCCTCAAGTGCGGCGGTCTCGTTTATGAGCGACACCAGGCTCTTGGCGCGCAGCATGCGCTTGGCGCCTCCCAACGTGAACGCAATCGCCTCGCCCTGATGCAGCAAGAAGCGACATGCGGGGTGGCCCCAGCCTTATTCGGCGCAGCTTGAGCTAGGACGCAGCTGCACATGTTGTGCTACGCATGTAGAACTTTTCATACGGCCCCGCACCCAGGGGGCCGGCTGTGCGCCGCGAAGCAGCACAATGTGTCAGCATGGCGGATCTACGCACAAATTGCCACGTGGCCCCTGGCTCGCTCACAGTGCGAAGTCAACAGCACCCACCACGATACTCTTGCCAGTGCCGTTTGGGCCAACGACGCATGTGAGCCCCTCTGACAGCGGCCCTATCACCATGCGACCGCGGTATGACTTGAAGTCTGCCAGGAAATGGCGCACCGCGAATGAGCACAGGCATGTCACGACAATTCAAACGGGGTGGTGCCGCCGCTGCATGAGCAGCAGGAGCAGCAGCAGCAGCAGGATCAGTCACATCGGCAGTGGCCTGCACCTTGGATTTTGATAATGCGTATGTACACCGACCGCGCCATGCCCTCCTCGTCGCTGCAGCCAGGTTGCATCTTTCAGTGCACCATGATCTATGAGGGCATGCACACTTGGTTGACGTCGTGACTTGTATCTATGCCTGAATATTGAGACCACGTGACGTCGCAGTACGAGCAAATCAACAGGTGAACTGCGCAGGCGAGAAGCTGCCCAGCTCCAATCATCCAAGTAGCCATTCCGGCACTCAAACAACCCTGCCAAACCTCCATTAGTCTTGCTTTGAAGCCACCCGAAACCTTCGCTGCAAGATACCGCAACAGCTCCCATCCAGAGCAGCTCGGTGCGAGATGTTACGATTGACTGAAATTCCTCACAGACGCGCTGTTCCGTTGTAGAGTGTTCAAAGACAAACTTACCTGCGCAAAGGTTGCATCCATAGCAGTACAAGATACTGTGGCTGCTGCTGCACCCTCCGGTCGTGCGCTCGACGCGCGCCGCCGCTTGCGCCTTGCGTTACAACCCGGCCCGCTCCAAAAGCAATGGCGGCCAATGAGGGCGATGTGGATGTGGCTGAGCTGCTCAGCAAGACGGACAAAATCAAGGTCCTGATGCGGCGCGATCCACGCTTTATTGGGCGCCTGATCACCCAGCTGGACAAGCACATGCATGCCATGATGTTTGAGAAGCATCAGCGCCTGGAGCAGATCCGTGCGGATGAGGAGGCCCTCGCAAAAATAGACGCCACAATTGCTAGCCACATCACACCCAACCTGGTGAGCGGGCTTGCCAGCAGTGGCGAAGGGGTGGGCGAACCGTGCTGGGAGGAACGGCGTCCATGGGGATGCCGGCACGCCGCTCGCCATTTGGCATCGGCTGGGCTGCAAACCAAGCACTGTTCAGCACGCCACACCCTCCTGCATCCAAGTATCTAATACGGTCTTAACATAGCCCGTTTCGTCACCAGGAACGCGTGCACGGGGACATCGCACGCAAGACAGCGCTACGCTCTGCCATCGAGGCGCAGCTGCAACAGCAGACAGGCAGCTCGCAGGACTTGCTGCGCGAGTGCGCTGCGCTGGTCTCACGAGCACGGCACACCAGCGGAAAGCTTATGGTGAGAGGTGGGCTTAATGATGGACGGGACACTTGTGCAGCGAACGGCGGCGCGGCGTTTGGCCCACATGTCAGCTGGTCACCAATGATCCCGGCATGCCGCTGACATGTTCAACCCTGCCATTTGCCCCCAACCCCACGCCCACAGTCGAAAACAGCATCAAATCGGCTGCAAGAAGCACGTGGGTTCTCAGCCACCATCCCCACCACTCAGCTGATCAGAGCAGCCAAGGCAAAGCAGCCCGCGTCCACTGGCCTAATTGGTGGGCCCAAGTGGTGATGCTGGGAGGCTGGACGTTGAGGGAGCCCCAACCACCCCACCCGTCCATACGTTGTCGAATGTCAATGCTGTAATTTGAGTTTGATTAATCTGTACCACAAGGCGGCCGCGGCATTACCACGGTGCTCAACAGCCTTGCAGCCATTGAACCCGCCCGCCGCTCCTCAAACGTTGGCGGCCGGCTCACCCCAAGTGATGCTGCCAGCTGCTCGGCAAGGCCCACGGCCGCGATCGGAGGCGCCTCTGTAGCAGCAAGGCTGGTACTTCTGCTGCTGCTACGGCCACCGCCACCGCTGCTGCTTGTTTGGGGTGTCAGCTGCGCCGCTGCGCCGCCAGTCTGTTCCTCTGGCTGCCCTGCACATGTGCTGTCTAGTTCGGGCCGCAAAAAACTAGCTGCAGCGGCTGCAGCGGCAGCATTTGCCGTGGAAGAAGTACCCTGCCCTGCAACTCTGCCAGCCAACGCAGGGACAACTGTAGTCGCCGCCTCATCCTCCCCTTGTGCTGCTCTAGGGCCCGCCTGTGTGGCTGCCGCTGAGTCTTCCGCCTCCACGTCGTGGAAGCGGGCAAGGGATGCGTCCTTCCTGCCATGGGGAACGGCACCGGGGGTCAATGTACCAACATCCTCACGATATGCATCTTGCCAGGAAACAGGATATGCAAGGGTATCCACTGCTGAATGCACTATTGCTCAAGCCTGTACACCCAAATACTGCTGTTGTGCCCCCCAGGCCTTGCCTGCGTTTAAGAATGGTGAGCTCGATGGCGGGGTGCTGGTAGTCCTGTGCCATCTTGGATGATGGGATCTGATTTTTGAAAAGAAGGGGGGGGGGGGAGGTGTGGGCTGAAGAGGGGGGACAAGATTGATTTGCGCTGCAAATCCTCAAGTGAAGCGCTCCCAATAAAACAGGGCTTCCAGGTGCCGCTACATGTGCACATGTCTAAAGACACTGCCACAGCGCGGTGTGAGGCGTTGTCGTAGAAGAGCTGCACGCCAGCGGGCCTTGGGCCCCAGACAAGCCGGACCAGCGCACCCGCTTGAAGGTGAAGCTGGGTGAGAACAGGTCGAGGAATGCCCGCTGCACGCTCTCGCTGCGCCGCTCATTGGCGATCAGGATGACGGTGCGCTCGTTGGAGAGCGCCATCACCGCATGGTACAGGTGGCGCAGCAGGTGCTCGTGGTAGACGCAGTCGGCCGCCAAGATGTAGTCGTACGGCCCACGCACCACACCCATGCCGCCCTCGCCGCCGCCTGTGAAGTGCCCCGGTTGAGACCAGTCCAGCTCCGCTACTGAAACGCGGCCGGCCGCCTCGGCGTGGGCCTCACCAGAGGCGGCTGCAGGAGTAACAGGGTTATTGCAAGCGCTGGGTCAATGTCCGCGGCCCATGCTGATTGCGATGGAGGCTGAAACACAAATAGCGACCAAATAACCTCCATCACTGCACCAAATAGGACTTCACAGGAAGCCAGGTGATGAGTCGGGCCCGGGCTCGCCTTTAAGGGCCGCGGGCGACAAGTTGTTCTCGTAGTTGCGCCGCAGCAGGGGAAGCACCGGCGCCATGTCCGTGAGCACCACGTCTGCGCCTGGTATGGGGACCACACCACCCATGAGCCAGACAATGAACGGGTCAGAGTGGGGGTTGAGCAAGTGCCGGTGAAGCCCGACAGGCGCCAGCGGGTGTGAACCACCACAGTGAGCATGCCTGCTGCGGCCTCACCGAGCCTGATGTCTGCCACCATCATCTATCTAATCCATACCCGTTGGCAAACAGCGCCTTGGAACAAACGCAACCCACCCATAGCGCATGTGCACGAGTGTGCTCACCAAGCATTGCAAATGCCAGGCCTCCCAGGCCCATGCCTGACCCCAGGTCAATCGCTCTTAGGAGTGGGTTGGGTTTTTTTGGGCGGGGGGGGGGCATCACAACGTGCTTGTCAAAGTGGGCGTGCGGGCATGCGGACGTGGGAGCGTGTGGTACTGCTGGCCGGCGCACCAAGTAAGCACGGTGTGTGCCAAATGCGCAGATGGTCCAAGACGGGGGCGTCAGGTAAGGCCTTGGTTGCAAGGCCCCTTGCGGGTTCCTGTTCCGCTCACCTCTTGCCACGGACTTTGGCACGGCTGAAGTCCCCCTTTCGCATGTTCTTCAGTCAAGGGACGCAGTTGAATGCAAGTATGGATGCAGAACGAGAGGGAAACAGTGTTGGTGCTTGAACAAACCCAAATCGACCGCCACAATGTGGGTATTCCCCGTACACTTGCGCATGAATGCTGTTGTGCTGCAGTAAGGGGGATCGCCCAAAACACTCCCCACTCAGGACCGTACCCGCACCTTCTCCAGGTACTTTGCGAGTACGATGGATGCATCCCACACCGTGGTGCCCAGGTTCTCAGAGGATGGATCCTGCGCCAGCCGTAGCGGCACCCTGCACGGGTCCGGCAGGAAAGGTGCGGGCGCTCACACAGCTTGCCTCGATTCAATTCAAAGGCTGGATTAAGACTACTCGTAGAGATCAAGTGGGTGCATCATTGACGGACGATCGCAAAGCCACCTGCTGGGCAGCCGGCAGACGCTGCGACATGTATAGCAGCAGGTTGTGTCTGGATGTTGCACTGTTTCCTCACCCAAACATTTCAACCTCCACGCAGGTACTGAAATGCGTGTTCCATCGCTCCAGCGCCATTCGTGCCGTCTGGTGGGCGGCAAGGGCCGACCTGCCCGTGCCGAAGTGCGGCGCGCGGTGTCGCGAGCAGCGGCCGCAAATGCTTGCGACTCTAGGCGAAAGCTATTGCCTCTGCGTTCGTGAGAACGATTACAACCAAGTAGAAATGTATATCATATTCGGCCAGGAGACGGCTCAAGAAATGCGGCTGCTGCTTGCCGCACGCAACGCACGCCTGTTTGATTGCTGCTGTAAGTATGTGGTATAGAAGACAACTGCAGAACCGGCATGGGCCCACCTGTTCTTGGGTGAACTAAGAACGCACTCGTGTGATCACTCTTCGTCACCTGCCCTGGACACCCTGCGCACCAACCTGTGCGTGCGGCCCACAGACGTATCGCACGGCAGTGGTGCGGATGAGAGGAAGCAGGAAATTCAATTAGATGGGGAGTGGTGTCATTGTCATCCCACCTTTGGCTGCAGCGCGTGTAGGCACACGTGCTGCACACACCACTGCTTCACTCGCACCACGATCAAGCCCAGCCGCTCCTGCCGCATCCGACGCGAGTGTCTCCCTGACCCCCCCTCCCACGGCAAGGGACCGGCAGCTTCAGGGGGGTGGGGCACCGCGTGCAAACAACCATATTGATCCCTGTATGGCAGCGAGTGCTTCGACCTATTGCTGTACAGACATGCCCTGACGTCACATGCCAAAAAATCAGGTTGACTATTATTTCATTATCAGGATGCAAGTACTAGGGCTATTCCGACAAGGCAGGGTATTCAAATGTGAAGTGATACCACCGGACAAGTGACATCAAGCTGGGTAAAGTCGTGCCCACCTTGCAACTCGGCACCTGTCATTGTGCTGTGGCACCAGCGTGGCCAGTTGCCCCAACTACGACGACGTGGGCCGTGACGAAAACGCTGAGCATGATCTGCTTGGTTGCCCTACATACGCGCACCTGCGTGCTGAGGCCGCACTTTCGCACCCTTGTTTGCAAATCTGCCCGCACATGCTCTTATGCACACCTTTGTGCATTGTGCAGATACGCACGCACTTGGGCACACCAATCCCTTGGACCGGAACGGCTCTTGAAGCGGGCGACCGCGGGGCGCTGTAATTTCAATCCTCACCCCAATCCTGGCACCAGCCCACCACTAAGTGGCCCCTTGAATCCCTGTCACACAATGCTGATGCTACCAAGTCATATCCCATGAGCCTGGATGGCTCCAGGAGCGGGCGACCGCGGAATCGTGTAACAATCCTAGTCCTAATCCTAAGTCGTAATCAGCCAGCTGTATCGAGTGGCCACTTGAATCCCAACCACACATTGCTGATGCTATCCCACATCCCATTCCACTGGGATGGCTCCAGGAGCGGGCGATGGCATCTTGCAACAATCCTAAAGCTAGGGCGGACAGCTGCCAGGCTCAAAAGGCGCTTGCGCCCGCCCGACATGCACCAGCGCGCCGCCCTGCGGCGCGCCGGTGCCCAGCATCACTCTGGCAGGCGCGTGGGCGCGGAGGGCGGACAGCCGCCAGGCTTACAGGGCGCTTGCGCCCGCGCCCGCCCCGCCCTGGGCGCCGGCGCGCCGCCCCTGCGGCGCGCCGGCGCCCAGACCTAACGGAAATGTGGCGCAAAGGACCAGCTGCTGGTTGGGAATTGAGCGGCGCATGCTTTGCTGCTTGGCATAAAGGTGGCATTGCTGTTGTCGCCCCTTTTCCTTGTACCATGATACATCCCATGAGCCTGGATGGCTCTAGGAGCGGGCGACCGCGGGATCGTGTAACAATCCTAATCCTAAACCTAAAGCTATCGACCCTTCAGTCACGAGTGACTGGTGGTGCCAGCACCAGCAGTGATGTCGCGTGAATGTGGACAATCACTTATCATGACGTCATCTCACCCAAGGGTGATGGGCCTCTTTCGACTGCACGCATGCTCAGGGATTGCTACAGCATCGGGCTAGAGTAACTGGCCACCCTGGCATTGCTCCCTTGGTCATGTCAGTCACCCTGATGACGTCATTTTGGCTGTTGGTGAGTGTGAAGACATCCGGGTGACATATCACGTGAAGTCACCTAATGGGCACTGACCCCTTGGTTGTTGACTGCCGTGCTGTTGCTGCCGACCCCCCTGAACCCTAAACCCTGAACCCTAAACCCCAAATCCCCAACCTTGAACCCTGATAACCGTTTGGTACCAAACCCTGCTGGCATTTGGTGCCCAGCTTGCGCTGACTAGGTTTAGGGTCATGGCTTTTGGTTTTTGGGTTTAGGGTTTAGGGTTTAGGTGGGAGCCAATGTGTGACAACACTCCTACAGCTATCGACCCTTCAGTCACGAGTGACTGGTGGTGCCAGCACCAGCAGTGATGTCGCGTGAATGTGGACAATCACTTATTATGACGTCATCTCACCAAAGGGTGATGGGCCTCTTTTGACTGCACGCATGCTCCGTCGGAAACATTTGGCCGTAGCTTATGGTAATCGAGTTTGGATTGCGAGAACCCACAAGCCGAGTTGTCACGGCTTGTGGCCGCTTGTTGACCGGCAAGCCGGACCTGCTTGATCGCAAGCCGGCCGGCTTGTGATGGCTTGTGGACAAGGCGGTTCGCTTGTTGCTGCTTTTTGCTCAAGCGGGCCAGCCTGCGAGCAAGCCGGGCGAGGCGTGCGCGGGCAAAGCCGGAACGGGGGCCTTGGGCGGCAAATTCAGCTGCAGCCTTGGCCTC